GTTTTGTTGGAATTGAGTCATATGAGTCATTTGGCCCAGTACAGTCCATCATAGAAAACAGCCCAGTATTGAGCCTGGCTAGATCCAGAGGTCAGATTTAGCTTCATGAGTAGGTAGCCCAGACCTCCGTGTTAGTCAGTGTATTTTCTGTTGTGCCCTCCTGTATTTCACACTTATGCCATAGGGATGGTCCTGTATAACCAGCTGAGGTGGAAGCAAAGGCTCTAGATTGACTTATGAATGGGTCATCTTGATATACAGGTGCAAGTTAAAAACAGACAGTGATAGCATTTCTGTCAACCTCAGGGATAGGCCCCAAAAGACAGTAGAGAGCATATATCTGTGAATAGTGTACCCAGATATTCACTTTGTGTGGAAGTGGCCTGAGGTGAGACTATGAATAGATTCCTGGGCAGTGGTCAATGATCTGGTCATCTGGTGAGGGGCCTTGAAGGGAAAGGAACAAACAAGTCCGGAATAGAGAAATGTGGATAGGCATATGGGAGTGGCCAGGAAATATACAGATCTATGTATCATATGCTAATACCCACCGCATAGAACGAGTCACAGAAGGGGCACTGCACTGACCAAGTTGACAAAAGAACTTAATCAGCTGATGTTAGCCAACTTTGGTGTGTTAGTCCGCTTCGCTTTGCTATGAAGAAATACCTGAGGTGCGTAAAGGAAAGAGGTTTATTTGTGTCACAGTTTTACAGGCTATACGAGCAGGATGGCACTGGAATTTGTTTCTGGTGTGGCCTCAAGAAACTACAATCATGGCGGAAGGCAAAGGAGGAGTTGGCATATCATATGGTGAGAGAAGGATTAAGAGAGAGAGAAAAAAGGTGCCAGACTCATAACCAGAACTCACGTGAACTCAGAGTGAGGACTCACACATTACAGGGGGATGGCACCAAACCATTCATGAGGGATCGTCCCCATGACCCCAAAATCTCCCACTAGACCTGCCTTCAACATTGGAAGTCACGTTTTAACACAGAATTTGGAGCTGACAAAACATCCAAGCCATATCACGTGGTCATTTGTTACCACAGAACTGTCACAATGGACATGAATTGAGTGGCTGTGGTGACAGTGATGGAGGCAACATATAGGCTTAACAGCATGAATTCCTACTTATGAAGGCTACCTACCTATTGCCACCTCCAAATATCCTACAGAGACCAATACTAAGCTACCAAGTTGGCATTATTCCTTAGGACAACTAATCCCTTATTTAATGACAAGTCAACTTCCTTGAACATCTGGAAGCCTGGAAAGGCCTGCAGTTCATTCTTATATGGAAAGATCTTTTAAGTGTGGATTAACCTTTTCTGCCATAGAGCCTCAACCAGCACCCATATTGGGGACTTACAGAATGTCAAATTTTCAGATTCAGCATTCCGTATAACATTGTATTCATCCAGGCATGGAGGCTCATGCCTATAATAGCAGCGCTTTGGGAGTCTGAAGTGGGTGGTTCTCTTGAGCCCAGGAATTTGAGACCAGCCTGGACAACATAGTGAAAACTTGTCTCTACAAAAATACAAAAATTAGCCAGGTGCAGTGGTGTGTGCCTGTAGTCCTAGTTACTTGTGGGACTCCCACCTCAAGGTTGCTTGAGCCTGGAAGGTTGAGGCTGCAGTGAGCTATAATTTTACAATTGCATTCCAGCCTGGGTGACAGAGTGAGACCCTGTTTCAAAACAAAAAGAAAAGCAACAAAAAACGTTGCATTCAACAAGGGAATCCACTTTTCAGCAAATAAGATGTGAGACAGGGTCATGTTCATGGGGGGGCCCTACATTTGTGTTATACACCATACATTCTGTATCCCATACACCCAGCTGGATGGGCATTAACATGGATTACTGAATACAGAGCTGAAGTGCCAGCTTAATGGAAATACTTGAAAGGATGCTATTGTGTAGTATTCCACATATGCAGTAATCATAGACCTCTATATGGTGCTGTATCTCCTGTAGAAGACTACATAGGTCTGGAAACTTACAGATGAAAACAGGAGTGACCTTACTGATTATCACTCTCAGTGACCGATAGAAGCACTTAGTGTTTCTTGTCCCCACACTCTAGGCTATGCAAATTTAGTGATTCTGACTCCCAAAGGGGAGCACTTTCTTGCCAGGGACACAACAAAGATCCCATTAATGTGCAAGCTATGTTTGCACTTTGGGTTCCTTGTGTCCAGGGACCAGCAGATGAAAAGAGTGACAATTTTGGGAAAAGTAATTGCCTCTTATCAGCAGGAAGAGGTAGGGCTACTTGTACATAGCAGGGGCATGGAGTAATACATTTGGAACTCACATGATTCAACTGGATATCTCTTGATTCTTCCATGACAGTTGTAAATATGATTAACATATGCAGCAACACCGGCCTAAGAGGGGTATTTTACTATGGGCTCAGACAATGCAAGAACAAGAGTTAGGGTCATGCCACTTGGTAAATAGCCAAGATCTGCAGAGACAATAGTTAATATCAAGAGGAATGTATTATTTATTACTCATTTTTAAATTTTTATTTTAATAGCTTTAGGAATATAGCAGTTTTTGGTTACATGGATATACTGTACAGTGGTGAAGTCTGGGCTTTTAGTATACCTGTCACCAGATTGTTGTGTAGTATACCCGATAAGTGAATTTTTTAATCCCTCACCCCTCTGCCACTATTCCTTTTCTGGAGATAATAGTCTCCAATGTCAGTTATACCACTGTGTATCATTTACATGCCATAACTTAGCTTCCACTTATAAGGGAGAAATATGGTATTTGGTTTTCCATTTTTGAGTTACTTCACTTAAGATAATGGCCTCCAGTTTCATCCAAGTTGCTGCAAAAGACATTATTTCATTCTTTTTTAATGGCTGAGTAGTATTCCATGGTGTGTGTATACCACCATGGAATGTGATATATATGTATACCACATTTTCTTTATCTACTCATCTGTTAATGGGCCCCTAGGTTGACTCCATACCTTTTCAGTTGTGAATTGTGATATGATAAGCATACTAAGTGCAGGTATCTTTTTTATATAATGACTTATTTTCTTTTGGATAGATAGCTAGTAGTGAGATTACTGGATCAAATGGTAGATCTATTTTTACTTTTTTGAAAAATCACCATACTGTTTTCCATAGAGATCGTACTAAATTTACATTCCCACCAGCAGTGTGTGTTTCCTTTTCACTGTATCTATACCAACATTCTATTGTTTTTTGGCTTTTAAAAATGGCCATTCTGGCAGAGTAAGTTGGTATCTTACTGTGGTTTTAATTTGCATTTCCCTGATAATTAGTGATGTTGGGCATTTTTTTATGTTTCTTGGCCATTTGTATATCTTCTTTTAAGAAATGTCTACTCATGTTATTTTCCCACTTTTTAATAGAATTATTATTTTTTTTTCTCGCTGATTTGTTTGAGGTTCTTGCAGATTCTGGATATGAGCCCTTTGTTGGGCATATAGTTTGTAAATATTTTCTCCCATTCTGTAGGTTGTCTATTTATTCTTCTAGTTATTTATTTTGCTGTGCAGAAGAATTTTAGTTTAATTAAGTCTCATTTATTTATTTTTGTTGCATTTGCTTTTGGAGCCTTGGTCCTACTCTGTTTTTTTTTTTTTTTTTTTTTTTGCCTAAGCCAATGTCTAAAAGAGTTTTTTCTAGGTTTTCTCCTAGAACTTTTAGAATTTCAGATCTTACATTTGAGTCTTTAATTCATCTTGAGTTACTTTTTGTATACGGTTAGATATAAGGATTTAATTTTATTCTTCTGCATGTGGCTATCCAATTTTCCAAGTACCATTTATTGAGTAGGGTGTTATTTCCCCAGTGCATGTTTTTGTCTGCTTTGTTGAAGATCAGTTGATTGCAGGTAATTAATATTATTTCTGGGTTCTCTGTGCTGTTCCATTGGTTATGTGTGTACTTTCGTACTAGTACCATGCTGTTTTGGTTACTATAGCCTTATAGTATAATTTGAAATTAGCAAATGTGATGCTGCCAGCTTTGTTCTTTTTGCTTAGGATTGCTTTGGCTCTTTTTTGGTTCCATATGAATTTTAAGATTCTTTTTCTAATTCTGTAAAGAAAAGACACTGGTAATTACAAGAGGAATTGCTTTGAATCTGCAGTTTGCTTTGGACACAATGGTCATTTTCATAATTTTGATTCTTCCAATCTATGAGCATAGGATGATTTTCCATTTGTTTGTATCATCTGTAATTTTTTTTAAACAGCGTTTTATAGTTCTCCTTGTAGAGACCTTTCACCTCCTTGGTTAAAAATACTCTAAGGTGATATAGATTATAGATGTAGATATAGATATTTGCAGCTATTGTAAATAGGATTGAGGATAGTGGAGGAGGGGGAATATAAGTACCTGTTGTGATCCTGAGCCCAACTGCAACAATGGGAACTGGAGTTCATCCCATTAACTTCCCTCTTCTAAATGACCCCCCAGGTAGAAAAGTCCACAAAAACCATAAAGGAGTTGCTCCTGAACTATGGAGGTGTGGATCTTTACAATGCAAAGGATGGACTTTGGAAATATTACTAAGATTTCCAGGAAATCCTGCAGCAAGAGTGATTGTTAGATAATAGTTCCCATTTGCCACACCTTTGGAACTTTACATTTTTAAAGCTGAGTCATGAACTTGCAAGGAATGCTTCTAACCTGTGACTGAGCCTAGTGGACTGTCTGTGAGGAGGCCATTCCTGCTCCATGTGATGCAAAACTTCTCTGATAAGCAGTCTTTGCCCTTGGACTCCCCTTAGGTGTGGCTTAGACTTTATCGCAACAGCAGTGAAGTCCGAGGCTCCTCTTACTAAATCCTCCGTATACTCTCTCTTTTCACAGGTGTCTGAAAGGCCCTCCTCTGAGTCCTGCTGCTCCTTTTCTTCTGTCATTTTAACAGAGTTTCCCCAGTGAATCTCTTGTATATCTAACTTTATCTTGATGTTTGCTTCCCAAAGGACTAAATCTATGACAATATCTGAGAGAATAAACGGATGCCAGTTGAGCCCTTTACTTGGAAAGCCAGTCTACTTCATGATGTTGTGAAAATTGGATTCTGATGCTGCCTCATTTTGCCATTCTCAGTTCAAATTAAATCTCTTGAAAACTTCCATTAGCTCCTCAGGTAAACTTGCAGCCTTCTTCTTGTTCTGGGCTCCTGGTCCATCTTCGAGCTTCAGTAATAATACCCACTGTAACACTAACAAACGTTAAAAAAATTAAAAACTTGTCTAAAAATGAAAATAACTATTCACATTTTGATATGTTTTTCCAGCTTTTGTGCTTTGATTTTTTTTCTTTTTTGAGACAGGGTCTCTCTCTATCACCCAGGCTGGAGTGCAGTGGTGCAGTCACAGGACCTTCAACGTCCCTGGGCTCAGTGATCCTCCCACTTCAACCTCCCAGGTATCTGGAACCACAGATGCACCCCACTTGCCTAGCTAATTTTTTAATTTTTCATAGAGATGGGCTTTTCCCTGTTGGTTAGGCTGGTCTCAAACTCCTGGATTCAAGCTATCTGCCCATCTCACTTGGATTATAGACGTGAGCCACTGCATCTTGCCTGATGTATTTTTTTTTTATTTTTAACTTTCTATATATGAAATTTGTACAAAAACTTTAAATAGAAGTTTATTATGTGACAGCTACAATTTTGTACCATGCTGGTTTTCACCTAATATTTTAGAGTGGACATAGGCCAAGTGCAGTGGCTCACACCTGTAATCCCAGCACTTTGGAAAGATAAGGTGGGAGGATCTTTTGAGGCCAGGAATTTGAGACCAACCTGGCAACATAGAGAGACCCCATATCTACAAAATAAACATAAATAATTATAATTTATAATAATAAACAAAATAATTATAACTAGATATAGTGAAATTTATATTCACTATATATATAGTAAATAGAAAATTATTTTCTATACATAGTGAATAGAAAATGATACAGAGACATAGATAGATAAAGATAGATATAGTGAAATTTTGCTGTTCAGTGTTCTTTGTTTTCAAAATTTCTTTAAACTTATTGAAGAAGTAGTGGTTATTGCTTTTGAGGCCAACCAAAGGAGAAGGGAGCACCTTTGAAAGGAACAAGGGAAATTGGAAGGGAGAAAGAAGGGCATTTTAAGACTGTGAAACAAGTTAGAGGATAGGAGAATTGGAGTGGAACAAGCAGGGATACCCTGCCTCTTAGTGTTGGTGCCCTGAGGAGATAAGACCTCCTCAGGGGATCTTAGAAGAGGATGGCCATGTGATGTACCTAAGGATGAATCTGAATCTATTGCCATTTTTGGCCTTGGCAAAGATTCCTATGTAAGACACACAGTAGTCCAGAGAAAAGATTCATGGGCTTCGTTAATAAGGGTGTATATGGTAACCTTAATAGTGAGAGGCTAGATTATTTTCTCCATCTTCTGGGCACTGTAGACCAGGCACTTCTTAGACTCTGGCACTACTTTGGGAAATACAGGTAAGACTGAAATTCAGATTCTTGTCAAATACATGAGATAAAAACTCAAGGTCAGATTTAATTTAATTTAAAGAAAATATAGGAATGCACTTATTGTTGAACACCTACATTTAGATACCTGGATTTATACCCACTATAATTTTTTTTTTTTTTTTGAGTAATGGTCCCACTTTGTCACTCAGGCTGGAATGCAATGGTGCATCATGGCTCACTGTAGTCTCGATTTCTTCAGCCTCAGCTGAAGTCCCTCCCAAGTAGGAGGGACTACAGGTGCATGCCACCAAGCCCAGCTAATTTTTGTACTTTTTGTAGAGACAGGGTCCTGCCATGTTGCCCAGGCTGTCTCAAACCCTTGGGCTCAAGCAATCCTCCTGCCTTAGCTTCCCAAAGTGTTAGGATTACAGGCATGAGCCACTATGCCCAGCCCACCCACTGTAATACTAATTCCTAAACCTATCCAAAGAAAACCTCCTATTACCTCCAATCTGTTTTCATACTCTGAAAAATATCTGCTCTTATTTCTATAGTTGTATGGGTTACATTTTTTCCTATCCCCTTCAGAACTCTTTGCAAGTCAAGTCGATTAGATTTTATTATTAAATAAAAGATAAGACACCTAAATTTATTAGATTTTATTCTTCTTAATCCAGTAGATTTTCTAGAATTGTATGTGTTTGATAAGGCAGAGTGGAGGAAAGAAGATAATAAGCTCATTATTCTCCCTTGGCATAAATTTATCTCCCACATTGATCTTCCTTTCAGCTAACAGTAAGAGAATCACTGTCCCAAAGCAGTGGCTCATTGAGTTGCATAAAATGATTGGAGAAGCTGAGATGAACAGCAGGCTTCCTCCTGGGACCATACTTGGGCAGCACATGTAGTCCTAATTCAGTCTGTGCATTGTCTGAGCACAAATGTGCTCCGATCCCCTGCTGGGGGAGTACAACTCTCTGTCCGTGGGGATCATTGTACACACCATCTCCAAGCCTTTATCAAACTAAGACCAACTTGAAATTCAGTTCATTTGTCCAACCAAAGAGGCAGTGGAGACAGATGGAAAAAACAAGGGTTGAAGCTAAACAAGTTTAGGCATAAAACCTTAGATGTGCTACTAATGCACTCTCAACTTCTGTGTCTTTATCCGTACTCGTAAAATGGAAATAATAGTATTTACCTTGAAGGATTAAATATTTGGAGAAGTAAATGAGACATATAGATAATATGTCAAGCACAGTGCATTGTACATGATAACCAATAAATATTAAAAATTCAAGGGGAGTCATATTAAAGAAAATAATTATAATAAATAATATTTTGAAAAATGAATAATGAGATATTGTGGTAAGCACTTTACAATTCACATAAATCCCAGGAGACAAGTGCTCTTATTGCATCGATTTCTTGATTAGGAACTTTAATCACAGAGAGGTTAAGGAACTTCCCTGGCATCTTACAGCTAATAATGCTTCAAACCTAGTTATTTACCTCCAGAAATTGAGCTACTAAATAGTGTGCCAGATGGTAATGTCTTCTTTCACAAAAGAAAGGAGGAAGAGGTTAGATTATCTAAGGACCTGAAACACATAGAATAAATGAACTTATCACTGATCTTAAATTTAATATTCAATGGAAGCTCTTCCTTTGAAATCCAAAGGGAATAATGAAATGCATTTTAGATTTGGAATCATAAGACCTGTGAACAGTTTTCTGTTTCAGCACTTATTGTAAATCACTTAACACCTCTGAGTTCTTCACATGTTAATAGGGGCAATTGCTACCTTACCTTGTTGATAGGTATAAATGAGGAAATGGTCATGCAAGCACCCTGTAAATGTAATTGCCTAACAAGTGTTGTCATTAGTCAATGAGCATAATTATACACTGAAGAGACTAAAATTAAAATAGCAATTACAGTGATTGTCCTCAACATTCCACTTGGAAAATGCACCAAATTATTTTACTGCACTTCAGTGTGTAATGTATAACGAATTTCAAAATATTTTTAATATCTAAATTTCTAGAACCATTTTAATATTATAAAGTTCACATCGATGAAAGCAAAGAACGATGCCACACAGTAAATGCCTCTTTCTTTATTTTTACAGGAAGTTTCATGATAGGATGAAAAACAACAGGTACCCAATATTCTGAAGGATGGCATTCTGGAGTTGCCTAGGTTACTCACCAGGATGCATTATCATGCTATGTCTCATATTCTTTTGGAGTAAAAATGGGCAAGATGTGAGACATGGAAGTTAAGACTTCTGATAAACTTGCATCATCGTCACTATAATCAAGAATGTGAAAATATTTGTTTGTTCATGGATTTCTAATTCATTTATCCAGTAATGTTAGACATGTCCTTTCTATTGAACTGTACTAGATGTTGAAGAAGGTGTATCTAGAAATATTCAGTCTGGTTGAAAATACAGGATATATACAAATGGGCCAAGCACGGTGGCTCATATCTGTAATCCTAGCACTTTGGGAGACTGTGGTAGGTGGATTACTTAAGGTCAGGAGTTTGAGACCAGCCTGGCCAACATGGTGAAACCCTGTCTCTACTAAAGATACAAAAATTAGCTGGCATGGTGACATATGCCTGTAATCCCAGCTACCTGTGAGGCTGAGGCAGGAGAATCGCTGAAACCCAGGAGGCACAGGCTGCAGTGAGCCAAGATCGTGCCACTGTACTCTAGCCTGGGCAACAAAGTGAGACTCCGTCCCCTCAAGAAATACATAAACAAATGAAGTAAATAACAATGTAGAAGGGTATATCATTAACTGACAAAATGAGTGATATAGCTGGTAAGTGCAAAGACAGTTCATAGAAAAGAGTAAGCAAGACAATGAGGGAGATTTTACAGGAGCAAGAAAGAAGCCTGGGGGTCAGGAGTGTCTGGGTTTCAAGAACTTATGAAGAAGTTCTTCTGGCAGAAACATGATAAATGAACTATAAGCATTATTCAGCCAAATAACTGAACAGGGGGAGGAGTGTTCAATTATAGAGAGCTTTGAATGTAGGCTGAGGAATTTTTTTTGAGATGGAGTTTCGCTCTTGTTACCCAGGCTGGAGTGCAATGGTATAATCTCGGCTCACCGCAACCTCCGCCTCCTGGGTTCAAGCAATTCTCCTGCCTCAGCCTCCTGAGTAGCTGGGACTACAAGCGCACGCCACCATGCTCAGCTAATTTTTTTTTTTTTGTATGTTTAATAGAGACGGGGTTTCACTATGTTGACCAGGATGGTCTCGATCTCTTGACTTCGTGATCCACCTGCCTCGGCCTCCCAAAGTGCTGGGATTATAGGTGTGAGCCACTGCGCCCAGCCGACTGAGGAATTTAAGTGCATTATGTGGGAAATGGATGTCAAAGTGGCAGTAGTGTGAAAGAACAGAGGTCTTCTGTCCACTCAGAAGGCAGCATTCACATGGTAGAAGGATAAATCTTGAGTTTTCTCTGAGGTCTTGACCTTCAGTTATGAAAGAATTTACCTTAAGTATCAGAAAACAACCAACAGTTGCTTTAAACACACAGGTAAGTGTTTTTACTTGTTTACTTTTGTTTACTCTTTTTCAAGGTATAAAAAAATTGCAGATGTATAGGAAAACATCAGTTACAATAATTTTTTTATACCTTAAAAAATATTTTTTTATATTTTCTGTTATTTATCTTTTGTTTAAAATATATACATACAATGATTTATAGAACAAAATTCTGAATTAAAGTCTACCAATGGTTTACATGTATAAAATATGTAATTAACTATAGATGTTAATTAGTTAACCAACTAATTGAATTAGAAATTTAATAATATGTTTATAAAATCAAAATGTATAAAAATAGTTATATTGACAAATTTTCTACCTTTGTTTTCTGGTCAACTGAATTCCTCTTTTTAAAGGTGAATAATGTTTTCATTTCTAGGGTATCTATAAATATTTTATGCATTTTCAATTATACATATATGTAAATATTTTTTCTTTTTTTCCTCCTTTTACAAAACCAATCACATACTGCACACATTGTCCTGCTTCTTTTAATAACTATGTTAGAATTTGTTCCACATTAACATAAAATAACATCCTTATTTTGTATGAGTTCTTTTAATTCCATCATATGAATATATCATAATTTATTTAACTATTTGCTTATATAAGGGAATTTAGATTGATTCCAATCTTTTACTTGCACAAACTGTTTCAAAAAATAATTTTACACATCTGACAATTTTTACTTATGTAAATTTATTTTTAGGTAAAATTTCTACAAGTGAAACTGCTATGTCAAAGGGTATGCACATTTTAATTTGATTTTGTCAGCTTGCTCTTCTTAAAGATTATATTAATCTAAGCTGTTACTAGCAATGCATAAACAAGATTGCCTATTTCTTCACTTTGTTGCCAACATAGTAATATCAAACATTTTAATCTTGGCCAATCTGAAGTGAAAAAGACATTTGAACATAGCTTTATTTAAATTTGTGTTCCTTGACATCAAAATCAGGAAGAAAACTATAGCCTTTTGCTATAGACTGAATGTTTATATCCTCCCAAAGGTTGTATGATGAAACCTAATCCTCAATGTGCTGGTCTGTGGAGGTGGGGTCTTTGGGAGGTGATTAGGTGATTGGAGACCTCATGAATGCGATTAGTGCCCTTTTAAAAGAGACTCTAGAGAGCTTCCTTGTCCTGACTATGAACCAGGCAGCAGGCCCTCACCAGACACCAAATCTATCAGCACTTTGATCTCAAACTTTCAGTCTCCAGAACAGTGAGAAATAAATTTCTATTGCTTATAAGCCACCCAGTCTATGGTATTCTGTTACAGAATCCTGAACAGACTAAGACTCTTTTGATTCCCTCTTTACAGAAGCCAAAATTCAACTTTGTTTGCCTCCTCTACCACTGATATCATTAATTCAGATATCCCACTCTCATATATTCATAGTATGCCTGCTCTCCAAGTTTATATGTTTCTATAGTCCTTTGATCATTCTATTTTCTGCTCTTCATTAACCCATTTGTGGTCCTATTTCCCTCACTATCTAACTTAGATCCTTTACACATTAATTCCTTCACTTATCTACCATATTATGCTTCTGCAAATAGCCATGTGGCAAAATCACAACCTCTTATTAAGCCAACTTTCCACCCCACTGCAAGGCTGTGGGCAGCTGGACACTGCTGAAGAAAATCACCCAGGCCAACCAATGTCACGTCATCAGAGACAGCTTCTTAGTCCTATCTAGGCCCTCAAGGCTGCCAAGTAGTTACTCAAGTTACCACATTCTTTCATTTTCAAACCTACTATTTCAGATACTTTTCATCTTCTTCAGGCTTCCACCACTCTTCACCAATACTTCTCATTTTCCAAAAAAGTCTCTATCTTCCACCTTGTCTGTAAAAGAGAAACTTTCATTCAGGAAGTCCCTCAATTTAACAGCACCAAGTCTGTACAAACTTACATGGTTTGGCTTTGTGTCCCCACACAAATTTAGTCTTGAATTGTAATCCCCAGGTGTTGAGGGAGGAATGTGGTAGGAGGTGATTGGATTATGGGAGAGATTTCCTGCATGCTGTTCTTGGGATAGTGATTAAGTTATCACCAGATCTGATGCTTTTATTAGTGTTTGACAAGTTCCGCCTACACACACTCTCTTATCTGCTGCCATGTAAGACATGCCTACTTCCCCTTCAGCCATGATTGTAAGTTTCCTGAGGCCTCACCAGCTGTGTGGAACTGTGAGTCAATTAAGCCATTTTTAAAAAATAAATTATCCAGTCTCAAGTATGTCTTTATAGCAATGTGAGAATGGACTAATACACAGACCTCATCCAGACTTTCTTCACTTTCATTCTAATAAGAAGAAAGGAGGTAATATCAATTTCCCTTATCTAAAACCAATTTCTTTACCTTTGTTTTTAGTCACATGTATTGCTGCCCTCTCAAGGAAATTGCGCTACTAATTATTTTTTCTGTCCAGCCAACTTCTCCCTATATACTTGTCCTTTGCATAAACATTTAAATATGCAACTGTCACTCTTATTTCAAAAACAAAGAAACTCATTCTCCTAATTCCATCATTTCTCCTCAATCAGTCTACTCCAATTTGACCCACCTCCAATTTCATGGGCACGTCTCTCCTGAATTTGCAGCATGTTTTTTATGCTAATCGAAAGAATTCTTTTTTTTGTTTGTTTTCATCTCACTTGACCTCAACTGCATTTGACACTGTTGATCATTTCCTCCTTTTCGAAATTCTTCAGGTTTCTAAGACACCTACTTCCCTAGTATTCTTCTCTCCTTTCTGAATATTCTTTCTCTGTTCTACTTTTCCTCCCCAACTTTTCTGGTCATCCCTTAAGTGTGTGGATTCTGCCAGCTATCTTCCCTATGTCCTTCTGTCTTCTCACATGTCACTCCTGAATTACCTAGAAAGACCAACTCAGCCTGTCCCAAACTAAATTCTCATTTTGCCCACTCTTTATTTTTTTATTTTTTGGAGGAGAATGAGGTCTCAGTCTGTCACCCAGGATGGAGTGCAGTGGTATAATCAAGGCTTACTACAGCTTTGAACTCCCATGCTCAGGTGATCCTCTCACCTCAGCTTCTCGAGTAGCAGGGACCACAGCTGGACACATCCATGCCTGGTTAATTTTAAAATTTTTTTCGTAGAGATATATTCTTGTTATGTTGCCCAGGCTGGCCTCAAATTCCTGGGCTCAAGTAATCCTCCTGGCTCAGCCTCCCAAAATGCTAGAATTACAGGTGTGAGCCACCACACCTGGCCCTCTTTTAACCTTTTAAACTTCCCTCTTCGCCATCTTTCCTGTCTCAATAAATAAAATCACTATGTACCTACAACTCAAGCTAAAATCTTGGTAGGTATCATCAAATTCTGACAAATTTGTTTATAGCCACCCAGCCTCTCTTCATCACCTTTTTCTCTTTATCTGGGCTGCTCAGATAACCTCACAAGTGATCTTCTTTGGTTTATTCATGACAATCCACATTTATGTTCCACTCCGAGTCAGAATGATCTCGCTAAAGTACAGATTTGATCATGTAACTTTTCTGTTTATAATGCTTCAATTACTTCTTATTTTCCACTGGGATCATTTCAAGATTCTTAACATGATGTATGAGACTCTGCATGTCCTGGCCCCTACTTGCCTTTTGCCTCCTCCCCAACCACTTCTTCCTTCAGTCTAGCTGCTCCAGGTGGAGTGCGCCATGTTCTGTCTTTTCTCCTCAGATCTTGAAATATGCTCATCTATTAGTGTGAGAAAGTCTTCAGCAGCTACCATC